GTGCACAAGTACATTCAAAGATAGGATGTGGTCTGGAATGCTCCTTTTAAAACAAGGATTTGAGCCCTATATGAAGATTGGATGCTGAATGAGCGAAGACCGTTGACTCGGAATAGAAATCCGGCTCTACCACCAATCGAAACCTATCTTGAATGGGTTTGGAATGCGTGAAACGAACTCCAAACGAACTCCATCATGCTCTCGTTCAAGAATTGTGCGATCATCACGGCTACCGATGGCTTGAAAGATGGTCTCATCCACTGCTTCAAGAAAGAAGAACCGATTCCTGAAGGCGCAAAACTTCTCGCTAATGCTCGACTTGAATACTTGAATATCAACGAAGTAAATGATCATCAGGAAAGGATTGGAAAAATTTAATTGGATGGAGATAATGATTCGGATAACGATTGGTAAGATGCTAAAACTCTAATAGTATTGCAGGTTGGTATGGCCTAGTATTGCAGGTTGGTATGACATAGTATTGTAGGTTGGTATGGCCTAGTATTGCAGGTTGGTATGGCATAGTATTGTAGGTTGGTATGGCCTAGTATTGCAGGTTGGTATGACATAGTATTGTAGGTTGGTATGGCCTAGTATTGCAGGTTGGTATGGCATAGTATTGTAGGTTGGTATGGCCTAGTATTGCAGGTTGGTATGGCATAGTATTGCAGGTTGATATAGCTCTAATAAAACCTTAGTATGGCACAAGTATTGCAGGTTGGTATAGCTCTAATAAAACCTTAGTATGGCACAAGTATTGCAGGTTGGTATGACATAGTATTGTAGGTTGGTATGGCCTAGTATTGCAGGTTGGTATGGCATAGTATTGCAGGTTGATATAGCTCTAATAAAACCTTAGTATGGCACAAGACTATTAGGGAGAATACGGTATATGATTTTTCCCTACATTTAGGGCTTAGCAGTTGTGCTTCTGTATTGTTTGTACCACAGTATTCGTGTAAATAAATGTATTTTTTCCTCAGCCCGAGGACTTTCCCCATCTCCCGTCTCCAATTCAAGAACTCAGAGACCAACTTTACCAGGCTTAACTGTCAAATTGTTATCAATTTCTTGACCCACTCGTTGTTCAATTGTATTCTCACAGCTCGGGCCGGTCATTGCCGCAGAACCGTTTGAGGGTAAACATTTCCCTCAACCATTCCCCTTCATCACAATTCACAAACCTCAAATGAAAATTTCTCTCAATGGTGTTCTTTTGAGGTTTTTCAGAATAGAAAAAAAGAAGAAAACTTTCTCTTTTCTTTTCTCTTTGAGTTCATTGAGAGAGAACTCTCTTTTCTGCAAAGACTGTAGCCTTGGCATGACCGCTTAGCTTTCTTTTTCTCTTTTCTCTCACTAAGCTTATTCTCAGTTTTCCCCCCTTAGCCTCACTTCGATTGCGGTTTTGTTCTGTTGCTATGATTTTCAATTTTTTCGATTGTTAGCTAAATTATTATCTTATACTTTAGATCTTTCATTTGTATCTCTTATAAATTTTAGATCTTTTTAACACATTTTATCTTTCGATTAAAGTTCTTTGTTCTTTTTGCGATCATTTTTGAGTCGCTTTTTGCGTTTCCATTTGAAGATACTCGTCCAAAATACCGTAATCAAGTTGGAGATACTCAGCCGTACCCGATCATTTATAGAAAGTTTTGTCTTTTCATTGTCGTTTACTTGAATGATTAATACTAGTGATTTAAGCTTTATGCCACGCTTTATTTTTATGCCAAGCTATTTGGAGATAACTAGAGATGTTTAAGCCATATCAGAAGCCAGATTTGACCTGACCCAGTTTGACCTGACCTAGCTGGTCCACAAAAAAAGCCCTAGCCTGGCGCCTAACTAACCCAGGATAATGCTTTGTTTATATAGTTATAGAAATTGAAATTGCTTATATTGCTTATATTGCTTATATTGCTTATATTGATTATATTGCTTATATTGCTTATATTGCTTATATTCCAATATGGTTCTAATATGGTTCCAATATGGTTCCAATATGATTCCAATATGGCTCCAAAGTGGTTCCAATATGGTTCCAATACGGTTCCAATATGGTTCTAATATGGTTCCAATATGGTTCCAATATGATTCCAATATGGCTCCAAAGTGGTTCCAATATGGTTCCAATACGGTTCCAATATGGTTCCAATATGGTTCCAATATGGTTCTAATATGGTTCTAATATGGTTCTAATATGGTTCTAATATGGTTCTAATATGGTTCCAATATGGTTCCAATATGATTCCAATATGGCTCCAAAGTGGTTCCAATATGGTTCCAATACGGTTCCAATATGGTTCCAATATGGTTCCAATATGGTTCTAATATGGTTCTAATATGGTTCTAATATGGTTCTAATATGGTTCTAATATGGTTCCAATATGGTTCGGATATGGCTCCAAAGTGGTTCCAATATGGTTCCAATATGGCTCCAAAGTGGTTCCAATATGGTTCCAATATGGCTCCAAAGTGGTTCCAATATGGTTCCAATATGGTTATTCATCTATAATCGGTTAAAATGTCTCTTATTGAATGAACTCTTTCGACCCCCAGTTGTTCAATGACACTTGAAGCTTTTCCACGTCTGTTGAGCGAGAACGGCCTTGTCTCTTTCTTGACCAAAAATCTTTGTGAGCACAGTTCGAGTTTGCTCTTTGTGCCGCTGTAAACGTATCATCAATTTCTGTATTCTGCATTTGTTCTCGAGCGCAAAATTGAGATAATCTAGATTTTGAGTAGGCTTGGCTCAATGGCAGTTGGGTTTAGGCTCGAAACAAAGCCGGACCAAAGCTAGCCGGACCAAAGCTAGCCGGACCAAAGCTAGCCGGACCAAAGCTAGCCGGACCAAAGCTAGCCGGACCAAAGCTAGCCGGACCAAAGCTAGCCGGACCAAAGCTAGCCGGACCAAAGCTAGCCGGACCAAAGCTAGCCGGACCAAAGCTAGCCGGACCAAAGCTAGCCAGATCAAAGCTAGCCGGGTCAAAGCTAGCCGGGTCAAAGCTAGCCGGGTCAAAGCTAGCCGGGTCAAAGCTAGCCGGGTCAAAGCTAGCCGGGTCAAAGCTAGCCGGGTCAAAGCTAGCCGGGTCAAAGCTAGCCGGGTCAAAGCTAGCCGGGCCAAAGCTAGCCGGGTCAAAGCTAGCCGGGTCAAAGCTAGCCGGGTCAAAGCTAGCCGGGTCAAAGCTAGCCGGGTCAAAGCTAGCCGGGTCAAAGCTAGCCGGGTCAAAGCTAGCCGGGTCAAAGCTAGCCGGGTCAAAGCTAGCCGGGTCAAAGCTAGCCGGGTCAAAGCTAGCCGGGTCAAAGCTAGCCGGGTCAAAGCTAGCCGGGTCAAAGCTAGCCGGGTCAAAGCTAGCCGGGTCAAAGCTAGCCGGGTCAAAGCTAGCCGGGTCAAAGCTAGCCGGGTCAAAGCTAGCCGGGTCAAAGCTAGCCGGGTCAAAGCTAGCCGGGTCAAAGCTAGCCGGGTCAAAGCTAGCCGGGTCAAAGCTAGCCGGGTCAAAGCTAGCCGGGTCAAAGCTAGCCGGGTCAAAGCTAGCCGGGTCAAAGCTAGCCGGGTCAAAGCTAGCCGGGTCAAAGCTAGCCGGGTCAAAGCTAGCCGGGTCAAAGCTAGCCGGGTCAAAGCTAGCCGGGTCAAAGCTAGCCGGGTCAAAGCTAGCCGGGTCAAAGCTAGCCGGGTCAAAGCTAGCCGGGTCAAAGCTATCCGGTTAAACAGTTTTCTGTTTTTAATCCTTGATTTCTTTTCAGTTTTAGATATTTTGTAATAGAGAAGTGAAGGAATTGGCAAGAAAAAGTAGATTTCTGGAGAGGAGATTGTACGCTCAGCCTTTTGCTTTCTGGGCAATTGCTCTAACTAACTTTTGATGCACACAGAAGGCTAGTTTTGTTTGTGAACAAGTCATTATCGCAGTACTTTAACTAGCAATGTTATCACATCATTCATTATCGAATCAGAGGCAAAAACTATCTCTGGTGTAACACCTTTAACACCTTAACATCTTGTTTTTTCACAAAAACCCCTTGTGAATCCGATTTTCCAAGTGTTCACGCATTTATTTCCCCTTTATAAGTGAGTTTTTGTAGTGAGAAAAGTACAGAAAGTTGACCTTGTCCCTCGCTCTCCATCTCCATCTCCATCTCCTCCAAACCCCATCTCTCCTCCAATTTCAACTCATCTTCTTCACTTCAAGAACCATCTCGAGAAGCCACTCAATAAAATTTGCAAAAAAAAATGTCTTACTCTAACTCGAGAAATCTTGAAATTGACAAAATCCTTAAGAATTCGAAAGCACTTGACGAGCACTTGGTTTAAGGTTGATTTTGAGGAATTGAAATACAGCGATTTGGATTTTAAGAGTTGATCAAAATCTGGCAGACTGGCGAGCTAAAATTGCTTGTATTTTGAGTTAAAATCTGTAAACAGCCGCTTTCTGGCTTACTGAATTCTCCATTTTTCCTACAGAAGCGTTTGTGCAGAAAAATTATATGTTTATTGTAAGGATTTTAGGAAAAATAGGTATTCCCGTTCGGATTTGCGCTTTTTGCCTCAAAGACTCGAACAAAAAAGAGCCGATTTTCGCCACTTTTTAATCATTTTTTTTCTAAGCGCTGGTTAATGCTAAAAATATGTGTTGTATATCAAAAAAATCACCCATCCTTTCTACTTTAATGTAATACCCAAGCGCGCAGAAAGAAACGTACTGATGTCAAGATATGAGCGTTTGTTTGAGAGTAAACTTAGACCAAGCGACGCTCTTATAGGGGGCCGTTCTATTCGAGTTTTTACGGTAGTTAATCTTTTTTCTTTTAAAAAAATCATACATCGATTGCTTTTATCCATTTATTCATTCATTGTTTATTTATAAACGAAAATTTCAAAAAGGCAGACAAGCCAAACCAATATTTGAGTCTGCTTTTACCCATACCTTTGTTTCTTTCTAGTTTTAGATTATTTTTGTTATTTTTGTTATTTTCTGCATATGTTTTATGATATTTATTTTAGAATGGGCTCTCTACACCAAATCTTCCTCTTCACCAGCCTATTCTTCACCGTTTTCTCTCTTCATTTGATCCCGGAAAGACTCGAGAAAGAGGAACAATTGCGTGAGTTTTTTTGATTCTCGAGTATACTTTGTGCTCAGCTTTGTGCTCAATTAAGCCTTTGTTTTTTTAACAATGGGCGATGGTGTTAAGAAGACAAAGAAATGTATGATTTTCAAGAGCAAAAAGTTCGAGATCGTGAAGATTGCGCCGCTGTGTAAAAACGAAAATTACGCCGAATGGAATTGCCATTTGCCAGGGCTTTCGCTTTGTGCGAGTCTGGTATCAAAATGTAGCCCTTCAATTGGGCTACACGATGGCAGAAAAGCCTTTTCGAAAAACGGTTGTTTAGTACAAGAAAAATGACCACAAAGTGAGAGTACCAGCACTACACACCCATGCAAAAGATGGTACGTCGTTGTTGGTATTGCAATGTACATTCGGTACTCTCACTTTGTGCCCATTTTTCTTGTACTAAACAAGAACTTTTCTAAAAGTTTTTATACCATCGTATAGCCCAATTGAAGAGCTACATTTTGATACCAGACTCGTACAAAGCGAAGGCCCTGGTAAATGATAATTCCATTCGGCGCAATCTTCATCATCCCAAACTTTTGTTCTTGAAAATCATACATTTCTTTGTCTTCTCACATTGTTAATAAAAACAAAAGCTTTTGGGAAGGAAGTGTTTATTAGATAAATCAAAAATTTGGATTTCTTTTCTCATTTTGACCTCAAGAATGATTGCTGTGTGTGTTTAGGGGTTTCTCGTTAAAAACATTTGAAAAAGAGCTACCCGGGGTAAAACCGTTACCGTAAAAGGTAATATGAGCGGTGAATTGTACAGGGTTTGCTGGCGAATTGTACAGAGTTTCCATAAACACTTTTCAGACTTGGTGAAACGAGATGGGGCAGCTGGTGAGGCGCCGGTGTGCGAGTGGAGTAACGGAGGCTCGTCGGTTCATTGGAGTGCCACGAAGAAAGGTCTTCGATTCAGGTAATTCATATCAATAGACGTAACTGGCAATACAGTGTTACCATTAGATTTTTTTCTATGCTTTCACAGTACACAGTACTCACTAGACCTGGGTTTTTTCATGTTTGACTTTTCGATGAAAGTCAGGGATAGGAACATGGACAGAATGATTCAATATTTGATAGATTTAATGAAATGAATATTTCCAATCGATGCCTAAATTTTTGTGATCAATTTTGCCGTAAATTTGACTGTTTTATGCTTCAAATTCTACAGGTTTGGGGGAAATTACTCGGACAAGAGTTCTTCGTTGTAACTTTCCAGCCAGCCAACTTAACCGTATGATTTTCTCCATAATATTCATTCGTTAATCTATTGGCACATTACTGAAAAGAAAAATCCGTTAGTCGGCTTTTCTTTTAAACCAAAAAGCAACCACAAAATTGATCCTGGCGCGGCGCTTCATTTTCCCCATTTTCAACGCTTTTTTGGTGTCTGAAAAACTCGAGAAAAACAACATTAAGACTAGAAAAGTGTGACTACTTTTTTCGAGGATAATTAAGAGTTTATAGAAAAGAATTATAGGAATTTTCTGGAAAAGTTGACGAATAACATTCAAACAAGTTTCTTGTCGGAGTAATTTTGCTCAACCCTATACATTCTGTTGAACCATTGTGTTACTTAAACAGCAGCCAAACACGGAGAACAATTTTATCAGTCCCTCGATTCTCAATCAGATTCCATTTTGTATCATTTGAAAGCCTAAAATGTTTTCTATCGAAGAAAAACGAAAAAATTTCTAATCTTCAGTGTCTCGATGGAGAGCAAAAAGGGCAAATTATGGTCAGCGATCGGAGTCGGAGAGTCAATGGCGGTAAGAAAAAGCTTTTATATCTAATTTTATCTAAATAAACTTTAGAATCTAAAACTTGCCATCGCATTCACTGAGAATGGAAAAGTGAAACAAGTGGGCGGATACAAATCAACCGGGTATTTTGAAATATATCACAAAACATAATTGATATTCAGCTATCAACCCCCAGCAAAGGAAAAAACCCTCAAAGTGACGTTTGATAAGAAGGTAATTGGTTTGAATTTGAATTCTTAATTTGCATAACGCTTGTAAATTTGCAGGCACTACCCGATTCTATCTGCTCACCCGTTTTTATGCTTAGGCTTAGGCTCAGGCTTAGGTGTATCCAGACCTTTTGAGAAAAAGTGTGGGATAGTTTAAGTATTAGATATGTTTAGGTTATAATTTCAGAATAAAGATCCTTTAGGTAAGCATACATCTACTATTAGTTTGGCTCATAAATCTTTAGACATTTTCTTTAGACATTCCTTTAGGTAATACATCTACTATTAGTTTGCCTCATAAATCTTTAGACATTCCTTTAGGTAATACATCTACTATTAGTTTGCCTCATAAATCTTTAGACATTCCTTTAGGTAATACATCTACTATTAGCTTGCCTCATAAATCTTTAGACCTTTTCTCCTACTAGCGTTTATAAATGACAAATTCCCCAATTCACCTACAATAAAAAATGTTTATTATGCATTTTTCTATTTTTGAAGACATCTATCTTTCTATCTTTTTTTCTTGAAGACAATTTAGGTCCTTTTCCAAGCAAATTCGGGTGCAAAAAAATAGTTTTTTCGTAAAATTCGATAAAAAGCTTTACAAAAAAAATCGATTGAACAGATTATCCTGAAAATTCGGCTTGATGCCTAACTTTTTGTGCTCTATCTTTTATCTATTGACACTAAGACCGGTTTCTTTAGCGTCTAAATTGCGTCTAATTTGCATCTTCGGGTTGTCGCCTTTTTTGATTACCCGACTTCGCGCTTCCATAAAAAAATCATAGACAAAACATTTTCATAAGATTCAAACGTTATTTTGTAAAAAAAATAGTAGGCTTTTCTAATGGAACCAATTGTAGATCAACTGGTGAATTTGTCATTTATAAACGCTAGTAGAAAAGTAGTGTCTAAAGACTTATAAGCCAACCCAATATATAAAAGGGAAGTGTCTGTCCGTCCGTCTGTACACGCGAGTTCTCGGCTCACCGTGGGCCGATTTACATGATATTTAGTTTGTTAGGCTTAGAATTCTCTGTAATTGTGCCTCTCATATTTCACTTTTTTTAAAAAGTAAAAGTCACGACGCAGCCGGGAGTCGAACCCGGGTCGTGTGGGCCGTAGACAAGCGCGCTCTTGACTGAGCAAAAGTTGGGAAGGTGAAAATAGTGAAAATTTAGATGCAAAATTAGCAATCGAGTTATTTTGACAATTGCTTTTTGTTTAGCTGTGTATAGTTCAACGAAAAATCTATATATAAAAAAAGATAGTGTCCGTCTGTCTGTTCGTCCGTCTGTACGGCCTTTTTCTCAACCCTCTTTAAACCAAAAAAACTGAAATTTTTTAAAAAGCCTTAAAACAAATATAGTTAAGGCATTTATAATAAAAGATTTTAAAAGTCAAAATTGAGTGGCATTAAGGGGGTCGAACTCGGGGCTTAGGGGGGCCGTGTGGGCCGTAGACAAGCGCGCTCCCGACTGCGCCACGGCAACAAAAAATGTCTCCAAAATATCCAGCCAGAAAAACCAGTTTTTCAGCTGGTAAAGTAGATAAAAGAATATTATAGATTTAATCGAGTTAGTTTTTAAGATTTGGGGGAGGTATAACCGGATAGTACCAGCATTTACAACATTTTTTTACAGTCAGTGAAAGAGGTCAACGGACAGATGAGCTTCGATTTGGTAGTTCCGGCGGAAATGTTCGCGGAAGCGGTGAGTCATCGTGTACTTTGGTGTACTTTTACTCAAAAAACTTGAACCTATGCTCTCTGGTACACTTTATAACTCATAAATTTTACGATTTCAGGACGCAAACGGTTGTGTGACCCTTCAATTCGGCATCAACGCCGGTCAGTACCAAGGGCAGTACAACATCCGGAAACACGATCAAACACCGACACCACTTCAGGTTGAAAATGAGCTAATCCTCTAAATAGTTTAGATCTAAAAATTTAAAGTTTATCAAAACTTTACACACGCAACTTTTAGGTGTGCAACATCAACAAGTGTGGAGCTGATCAGCCGAAGGAGGGTGAGTGAAATTGGCTTTTTTTTTTGTTGTATTAGGCTGTCTAGCTTTGATATCTTTCAAATTCTTTTTCGTATATGTCGTAGCCGATTCAGATTGAATCATAATCGGCTAAAGATTCACTCGTTAGCGGCGGAAAGTCTTCTCTTTCCTGTTCGTACTTCCGTTTAAAACCAAAAAAAAAATTCACCAATTAAACTACGGTTTCCTCTAAATAAAAAGTGTTTCGTGTTCAATTTCTCATCTTTTTAAGTCAATTTCGATTAACTTTCAAGCAAATCCGAGCGTGAAAACATGTTTTTCGTCCGTAAAAACCTCTACGAAGAAATTCGCTGGATGAATTTCTCTAAAAATTTAGCTAAATATCTAACTTTTTATGCTCTATCTTTTATCTATTGACATAAAGCTAGGTTTTCTTAGGCTAAAGTGTCTAAACCGTCATCTTTTTGACCGTCGTTCATTGAGTCGTCGCCTTTTTGACTACCTGACTTCAGGCTCCTAGAAAAGTCTAGAAAAGAAAAGACATACAGTAGTGGAAAAAAAGTATTGGCCGGCCAATGTTTCCTCATTTTTCTCCCATTAGATCGTACTCAAATTAAATCGACCTCAATTAGTTTTTTTGTAGTATTTTGTGAGAGCTTTAAGATGATAGTCTTAGATTTTTGATGTCGCTTTAAATAGAGTCTTTCAAGCTATTTTTGCATGGGGGATAAGGTCCTTTTTTTCCCTTTTTCTCAGATTTTGTTCAAGGCTTCAAAACTACCAGTAGCCTATCATTTTCACCAGAACAAAATCAATAAATAAGTAATAGACGATCTAGTGCCATGATAATTGAAACCGTTTTCAATGGGATCCATTCATTCTTGAGATACAGATTTTTAAAAATCATTCTCAAATAAGGTTTTTCGATCATAAAACTTTTAGTTCAAAGGATATCGAAAAGCTAAATGTTACATTTTAAAAACATTTGAAAATGCTACATACAGTGGTGGCAAAAAAAGTATCAGGCCTCCCATTGTAAGTAAAAACAGTCGGGCGGCGGCCAATACTTTTTTTTCCACCACTATAAGACATTTTAAATCCGTTTTAATGTTATTTTGCAGGAAAATAATTGGCCTTTCTAATGAAACAAACCCTAGTTTAATTGGTGGATTTTTTTTGGTTTTAAACGGAAGTACGAACAGGAAAGAGAAGACTTTCTGAACAGCCTAAGATTTTCAGCCGCTAACTAGTGAATCTTTAGCCGATTATGATTCAATCTTAATCGGTTACGACATATACGAAAAAGAATTTGAAAGATATCAAAGCTAGACATAATATATAGCTTTATCTAGCTGTTTGTTATGCAAATTTTGGTCAAATCCTTTTCAGAACCCGCAGAGGCGGTCGAGGGTTCCGGTGACGCGCCTGAAAAGGAGGAGGATGATGGAAAGGTAAAAAAAAGAAATATTTTACTTTGTGTCTAGTATAAGCTATCTTGTATATCTTATATACAAGACATCTTAGACTAGACATCTTATACTAGACTTTTATCTCATTTAAGCTTTCATTGTTGTGTGAAATCTAGTGCTTATAAGTGGCCAAAATTGCTTTGAACTGGAGAGCGTTCTTTTCGGCTAATGTGTCGCTTTTCTAGGTGCTAAAACGTGTTCACTACCTCAACTACCGTAATCTTGTCTCCAGTTTTTATCCAATCTGTCTACTTTTTCTATCTTTCGATATCCTTTTTGAACAGCACAGAATCAGACCATAGATTAGATAAAACTAGAAAGATTACAGCACTCGAGAAAGTTGATCCTTTTTAGAAAACGCTTTAGTCGAGTTAGCCGTGAGCCAAAGCTCGAGTTAGCCTTTATCATAAAGATCTTTGAAATTTTAAAAACCTACTAGACTTTTAAAGCATTGCTTTTCTAGGTTACTCAAGCTCGCTTTCAGCAAAATGTAAGCACTGGTGTTGGTGGTGGGAATGGTGTGAGAGAGGCACCACAGAACGGTGATGGAGTGGCGATCGACCAAAATAGCACATCGAGTATCGATGATGTGTTGGAGATGATCAGTGGAAATGGGGCACAAGAGAATGGGCAACCAGCTCAGCCGAGTGGTTTAGTTGATGGTCAGCCTGGAAATGGACTAGGTGCTGATGGTCAGCCTGGTACTGGAATGGGTCCTGGTAACGATACTCAACCAGGGAATCAGCCAAATCTTGGTGGTGACTCTGGAAGTAATCCAGCTGCTCCTGATCAACCAGTTGATGCTCAGCCGAGTCCCACTAACGATACTCAACCAGTCGATACTCAGCCAGGAAATCAGCCAGGGAATGGGCTAGGCTCTGATGGTCAACCAGCTGGTACTGGAAGTGATCCAGCTGCTCCTGGTCAAGCAGTTGATGCTCAGCCGAGTCCTACTAACGATACTCAACCAGCAGATACTCAGCCTGGAAGTAATCCAGCTACTCCTGGTGAATCTGGAACTGAAATGAATCTTGCTAACGATACTCAGCCTGGCTCAAGTCTCCTTAGTCAACCAGTCAATACTCAGCCAGAAAATGGCCCAGGACTTGCTGGCCAACCAACTGGCACTCCTGGTCCTGGTAACGAGATGCAGTCAGCCAAGCCTGAAAATAGCTCAGTTCCCATTGGTCAACCAGTCGATGCTCAGCCAGCCACTACTCAGCCTAACTCTCGCTCGCCATTAATAGCTCAACATGGAGCTGATCCACAGCTAGGAACTACTGTAAGGCCAAATGCTCAGCCAGTGAGTCCAGTCGATGTACAGTCGAGTGGAGCTGTCCGAATCCCGCCTGGATCAGATCCATTTGGTCCAGTCGATACTCAACCAATGCCAAACAGTGAACAGCAACCAGGAGTCGATCCTCAGGCTATACTCAACCATAGCCAAACTCCAAAGCCTGGCCAACTCTTAGAACCAACTACAACACCGACTTCAAGCTTCAAGGCAGAGGTGGTGGTGTGCTTTAGACTTTAGATGTACTTTGTGCTCAAACTCACCCTTTCTGGTGCACTCAATCCTTCATTTTTTGGGAAAAGGCGTTTCTACAAGAAAAATGAAGAATTCAGTGCGCCAGAAAGCACCGTTTATAGATGAGCGCAAAGTACACCCAAGCACTTTCTTTGCTCGCTTTATGGGTTTTTGTTTATGCAGTTTTTTTTTCTTTAATTTCAATAACATTTTTAAATTTGATAACTAAATCACTAAACATATTAGCATTATTATTTTTTTTTGCTTTAGCCTAACCCGGATACGGTAGCGGCTAAGAACGGTGATGGGAATGAGCAACAAACGCTTGACGAGAGCCCACTAACAGGGAATAAAAACGAGACAGTGATTGTAAGTGAAAAAATATACAGCCAAGCTATAAAACATTAGTTCTTCACTAACTAGACGCCTAAAGATGCTGAAACCATTGATAATCTTTAAGATTTCAGCCAGTATCCTGGGTTTTTCAATGAGAAGTCACACTTTGAAGGTCCATAACTTTTGCTAGAGATGTTATTGATATTAAATATTTATATCGTTGTATAGAGACGAATTCAGGCTTTCAAATGATGCTAAATTAAGCTCGATTGGTCTAGCCAATCCAGAGAAAACACCAACGAAACTGCAGCCTGATTGGGTTTAGGCTCGAAACAAAGCCGGACCAAAGCTAGCCGGACCAAAGCTAGTCGGACCAAAGTTAGCCGGACCAAAGCTAGCCGGATCAAAGCTAGCCGGACCAAAGCTATTCGGACCAAGGCTAGCCGGACCAAAGCTCGATTGGTCTAGTAAATCCAGAAAAACACCAGTACCAATTCTGCATTCTGTAAACCATTTTGTCACTCAAACAGCAGCCAAACCGAGAGTTTTTTCTTTCGATTTTCTCAGCATTTTGTAGTCCAATCAACCTCTATTTTGTATCATTCGCAAGCCCGAAGTGTTCTATATAAAAACATAACGTAAATAATGTAATTGAAGCCTCGGGGCTTCTATTTTTCCCTCCCCCTCCAGAAGCGAGCTTCTATTAGAGGAGGGTGGGGTCTATTTTTCCCCTTAATGGTTCGATCCCGGCGGCTAAAAAAGATTTCGTTCTTTTTCCCGTTATTATCGGTTTTTTTCTTAACAACATTTGAGCAATAGGGGTATTTAGGGGTAAAAATTTCCTCCATTGTGTTGTAATTCATTATTCGTTTCGAACAAATATGCTTCCCTCTCCAATTACAATTACAGGCGCTTCAACTACAGTATTTACCGTAAATAGTCAACAATAGCATTCTCTTTAGACAAAGTCATGAGCCTTCAAAGTCCAAATAACTCCAAAAAAAAGCCCAGATAACGAAAAGGGTTGAGATTTGATTTTAATTATGGTGTATGAAATATGAATGCTACTTCTAAGTATTTTGATGTTCTTTTATGTATAATGAAACATCAAATTTCAGGAGAAGACTACAAAACCCGCCGAAGAATCGAAAAAAGATGAGGTGAATTTAAAATTCTTTAAAATTTTTGTTTTTTTTTGTTTTTTCTTAAAGTTTTCAATTTCAAGCACAACTATACTTTCAATTTCATTTTAATTTTTCTCTTTTTAACAATTTATCGTTCTGTTAGGTACCACCCAAAGGCACCGGCGTGTTTTTCCTTTCCCCCGTGCGAGTGCCGCTGAAAAAGGTGATAGCTGGGATAAGGGTTTACTGTAAATATCTAATTCTAATAACAAACTAATTCTAAACATCAATAATATCGATAACAAATAACTTCAGTAATAAACATTGGTCAACCAGTCGATGCTCAGCCAGCCACTACTCAGCCTAACTCTCGCTCGCCATTAATAGACCAACTTTAGTAATACAGCTTTAGTGTAAAGTCCCGAAGTCGCTCGCTACAGTATCCCAAAAAAAGAGACAAAATATCTTTCAAATTCGTTCACTAGGTCCCATTTTGAATTATTAGGGAAAGGCATGAACTCAAAAACGTGAACACACCCTTTCTGGTGTACCCAATCCTTCAGTTTTCTCACAGCAACGCCTCGATATCCGAAAAAGGATTCAGGATTCAGGAATGAAGGATTCAGTGCACTAGAAAGGATGCGTTTATAAATTTGACCACAAAGTACAAAGGAAAAAGTGAATTGAACACCGTTTTCTCGAAATCTAACTCTTAAAAACCCAAAATCTGACTAGTGCTTTGTGCTCTCGCAAAAGCACATCATCTGGCACATCATCATCAGTTTTATACCAAAAAATTCCTTGCGTTCTTGGCTACATGATGGGTGAAAAAGTTTTTAAAAAAGTTAATATTTCATTGATAAAAAGAGCACTCAAAATGGTTGGTTGGTCAACTGAATATCTTTAGAGACCCATTTTGAGTGCTCTTTTTATCTATGAAATATTAACTTTTTTTAAAAACTGTTTCACCCATCATGTAGCCAAGAACGCAAGGAATTTTTTGGTATAAAACTTGAACGGGCTTGGTTTTTTGGATTTTTAGAAATTTGACGGCGTTTTGACTACCCCCCGAATTGAACACCGTTTTCTCGCAATCTAACTCTTAAAAACCCAAAATCTGACTAGTGCTTTGTGCTCTCGCAAAAGCACATCATCTGGCACACTCAGTTCTTCTTTTTCTTGGGTATCATGAGGAAAATGAAGAATTGAAGGCACCAGATTGAAATGCATTTGTGCAAACACAAAGTACGCGCGAAAAGCAGCTTTTTTCCTCTATTCTTTTCCATTTTTCAGTGTGTCTTTGCTTTCATTCTTTGCTTTCTTTCTTTGCTGTATCTTTTTAAAAATCAAATTTTTACATTCAATCTTTTCTAGACTGGATCAAAAGCAACTCTTGGCTCCGAGGACGAGGCAAAGACGTCGGGCAGCGGTTCATCAACATTGAGTAATCCTTCAACTTCACCTATCAAAGATCTCAGCAATCCTGGTCTCAATTGGATTGGCGGCTTTTTGAGAGTAGATGAGGGAAAAGCCAAAGAAATTGAGCCACACTCCTCAAATTTTCGTGAAGAAGAGAAAGCACTTACAGTAACCGTTCACCCATGTCGACCCGGGCACACCGATCTACGCGTTTGTCAGGGATACTTCTCGGATTACCTTGGAAAGGTAAAGTTTCTAGAAGTTTACAGAGGTTTATAGAGGTTTCTAGCGGTTTCTAGAGGTTCCTAGAGGTTTCTAGAGGTTCCTAGAGGTTTATAGAGGTTTCTAGAGGTTTCTAGAAGTTTATAGAGGCTTCTAGAGGTTTATAGAGGTTTATAGAGGTTTCTAGAGGTTCTTAGAGGTTCTTAGAGGTTTCTAGAGGTTCCTAGAGGTTCTTAGAGGTTTCTAGAGGTTTCTAAAGGTTCATAGAGGTTCTAAGAGGTTCCTAGAGGTTTATAGAGGTTTATAGAGGTTTCTAAAAGTTTCTAGAAGTTTATAGAGGCTTCTAGAGGCTTCTAGAAGTTTATAGAGGCTTCTAGAAGTTTCTAGAAGTTTCTAGAGGCTTCTAGAGGTTTCTAGAGACTTCTGGAAGTTTACAGAGATTTCTAGAATTTACTATATATAAAAGGATATTGTTTGTCCGTTCGTCCATCTTTCCGTTCAAGTTCTCAGCTCCCCGTGAGCCGATTTACATGATTTTTAGTTTTTTAAGCTTAAAATTCTATGCATTTGTGCATCTGATATCTCGTTTTTTTTCAAAAAGCAAAAGTAGCCAAAGCCAAAGCCAAAAGTAAAAGCAAAAGCAAAAGCAAAAGCCAAAAGGCCAGAAGGCTCATAATCACACCCGAACTGATCTCACCTGCCTGCTCTGGTCCGGTAAAATTAGAGGCAAATTTTGGACCAACCCTGGTCCATCCCTAGTAAAAGTATTCTTGGATTAAGACTGAATGTCCTTTGCCCAGGCCAAGTCCTTTGCCCAGGCCAAGTCCTTTGCCCAGGCCAAGTCCTTTGCCCAGGCCAAGTCCTTTGCCCAGGCCAAGTCCTTTGCCCAGGCCAAGTCCTTTGCCCAGGCCAAGTCCTTTGCCCAGGCCAAGTCCTTTGCCCAGGCCAAGTCCTTTGCCCAGGCCAAGTCCTTTGCCCAGGCCAAGTCCTTTGCCCAGGCCAAGTCCTTTGCCCAGGCCAAGTCCTTTGCCCAGGCCAAGTCCTTTGCCCAGGCCAAGTCCTTTGCCCAGGCCAAGTCCTTTGCCCAGGCCAAGTCCTTTGCCCAGGCCAAGTCCTTTGCCCAGGCCAAGTCCTTTGCCCAGGCCAAGTCCTTTGCCCAGGCCAAGTCCTTTGCCCAGGCCAAGTCCTTTGCCCAGGCCAAGTCCTTTGCCCAGGCCAAGTCCTTTGCCCAGGCCTACCCAGGCCAAAAAAGGCCAAAGTTCTTACTATTAGCTTTACAGTCTACATTTTCACTTATAGGTTGAACAATGGGCAAACAGACACGGTGAGACGATGGGTGCTCAACTTTGGAAGGTCAGTTTAATGTACTTTGTGCTCAAATCTGTAAACACGCCCTTTCCGATGCACGGAATTCTGGATTTTTGCAGAAACGCTTTGAACTCTTGAGAAAAGAAAGAATTGAGTGAGTCAGAAACGGTGTGTTTACATTCTTTTGCGCACAAAGCCATTCCGATACTGGTAAGCTTGAAAAGTTGATTCATTTTTGAAATCCGCCTCGCAATTGAACTTTTTTCAAGGTTGAACAGCTTTCTAGAACAAGAAAAGAAACAGAACAGCTAAGGAATTAATCATTTAGTTATTCTGCTAAGTTTTGCTGTAAATGGATACGCACAGAATTGTAGGGTGCACAGAATTGTACAGAATTGTAGGGGCGGTAGTGCTGCGCGGTAGTGCTGCGCGGTAGTGCTGCGCGGTAGCGGTAGTGCTGCGCGGTAGTGCTGCGCGGTAGTGCTGCGCGGTAGCGGTAGTGCTGCGCGGTAGTGCTGCGCGGTAGTGCTGCGCGGTAGTGCTGCGCGGTAGTGCTGCGCGGTAGTGCTGCGCGGTAGTGCTGCGCGGTAGTGCTGCGCGGTAGTGCTGCGCGGTAGTGCTGCGCGGTAGTGCTGCGCGGTAGTGCTGCGCGGTAGTGCTGCGCGGTAGTGCTGCGCGGTAGTGCTGCGCGGTAGTGCTGCGCGGTAGTGCTGCGCGGTAGTGCTGCGCGGTAGTGCTGCGCGGTAGTGCTGCGCGGTAGTGCTGCGCGGTAGTGCTGCGCGGTAGTGCTGCGCGGTAGTGCTGCGCGGTAGTGCTGCGCGGTAGTGCTGCGCGGTAGTGCTGCGCGGTAGTGCTGCGCGGTAGTGCTGCGCGGTAGTGCTGCGCGGTAGTGCTGCGCGGTAGTGCTGCGCGGTAGTGCTGCGCGGTAGTGCTGCGCGGTAGTGCTGCGCGGTAGTGCTGCGCGGTAGTGCTGCGCGGTAGTGCTGCGCGGTAGTGCTGCGCGGTAGTGCTGCGCGGTAGTGCTGCGCGGTAGTGCTGCGCGGTAGTGCTGCGCGGTAGTGCTGCGCGGTAGTGCTGCGCGGTAGTGCTGCGCGGTAGTGCTGCGCGGTAGTGCTGCGCGGTAGCAATCTAACTTTGAGCTCAAATATCTTGGTGTTGGGCTGTCCAATTTAAATATTCTTGGTATTATTAGATGCGCCAAGTCTTTCTCTGTCAAATGGTACAAAAACTATTGAAATTGAACAGCCCAACACCAAGATATTTGAGCTCAAAGTTAGATTGCCAATGGCAAAGGGAGCGAGGCGCGTATCAAATGTCCCACAATTCTAAAAACTCGTCTTTTTCCATCTTTCTCTGCATTAATACGTTTTTAGGTTTAATTACTATAAAATTCGTGCTTTTTTAGCTCGATTATTGCAAATGCGAGGTTATCTTCCCAACAAAAATGGGCACATTTTTGATAAATTTCATTTTTTCGAATCACTTTTAAAGTCTTATATGAAACGAAAGAGGTTTTAAATTTCTAAATAAACTCATGAATCTAGTGAAAAAATATCCCTAGATTTTAAATATCTAAACGAAAAAACTGGAAAATCTTTTGGTTTTTGAGTAAATTATCGTTTTGTAGAGCGCAACGTATTGGGTTGTCCGGTTATGAATGCGCGTTTGTACTATTTTGTAAATTTCTCATGATATCGAACAGATGTATATGGGTGTTATATATCATTCGAAAGCTGAAGATCTCCTCTACATTTTGGAATAAAAAAGTTTTTGAATTCATTCAACTTTTTGGGAAATTGACTGCACAAAGGGAGAGGTCGTTTTCGAAAAAACCCATTCCAGCTTAGCTATTCCTCAAGTTTTATGGTGTAAAATAACCGCCCAGAAAAGAAAAGAAAAGATGCTCTGAAATTGTTATATTTTAAAAAAGTTGTATTGATATATCTATTAGGCAAACATCAAACGGTTAGCTCAATTTGAGCGGAGCCAAAACTTGATCCAAAGGCACCTCGGCTGGCTCTGAGTCCTGAGAGCTGGCTCTGAGTCCTGAGAGCTGGCTCTGAGTCCTGAGAGCTGGCTCTGAGTCCAGAGAGCTGGCTCTGAGTCCAGAGAGCTGGCTCTGAGTCCAGAGAGCTGGCTCTGAGTCCAGAGAGCTGGCTCTGAGTCCAGAGAGCTGGCTCTGAGTCCCGAGAGCCAAAACTTGATCCATTTTTTGGTCACCTCTTCTTCTGTGCAGTTAATTTGCCCAAAAGCTGAACAAATTCAAAAACTTTTTATATCAAAATGTAGATGAGATCGTCAGCTTTCGAATGACACTCATATATATCTTTTTCTTGATTTCGGTATCTTGAGAAATTTACAAAATAGTAAAAAACGCGCATTCATAACTGGACAACCCAATATATGCCGCACCGGTAGAAGCTTTAAGTAGACTTTGTGCTCACGGTAAACACTCCTGTTCTGGCGTACTCATTCCTCATTTTTCTTCGTTGTTACGGGAAAAGTGAAGAATTCAGTGCGCTAGAAAGAGTGTGCTTGCATTTGAGTACAAAGTACTAAAGTATAAAGTACACCAAGGCACCGTAACCCTTTCCATTGCAGGCTTGTTCTCTTCTCTCCGTCGTTCAACATGTTCCAACAATGTGTTGCAATGAGTTCCATTCCACATGCAAACAATTCGTTCAAGATCAATAATTCCTATATTTTCTGTGAATCGGGTTTTTCCTGGCTTTCTTTATCAATGCCTTTATTGCATAGTTTCTATATTTATTTAGAAAAATCAAGAGCTTTACATTCAAAGATGATTTTAGGTTTTTCTCTTTCTTTGATGATCAAATTTTTCAGGAATAAAGGATGCTATGAAGTGGAAAGTCGTCTATTTTATAAAACCTCTTCAATAGAACACATAGCTAAACTATTTTTGATTGTTTTGATTGAGTAACTGAACCAAGTTGCCGAGTTGCAGAATGGAGTGCAGCAGAAGGGAGCGCAGCAGAATGTAGAATCCAGAATGTACAGGGTGCGTCATAATTATTGCAACAAGATACTCAAGGCATTGCACACCAAGAAGTTTCACTGGAAGAAGATTTTTAAACAGAAATAGCTTTATTTAACAGTAACAAATAAGGAAACAAGAGATCATTCGATATGACCGCCTTTTGCCTTGATAACAGCCCTTAATCGGTTCGGATATGCCTCCACTGCGGCCCGAATGTCATCTTGAGCCCGAATCTTGAGGAGTCGCCTTCCATCCTTTGGTCAAAGACTTCTTCAAGGTCAAAGACTTCTTCAAAGAATCCAAACTTGTGTGTTTTCGAGAGCAGACATTAGCCTCTAAGATTGCCCAAATGGAAAAGTCCATCACATTGAGATCCGGTGAGTTTGGAGGCCATTCATCCTTGGTGATCACTGAGGGAAAGTTGGCCACACACCAGTCCTGAACCGTCTTCTTCGTGTGAGCGGGAGGCAATTAGGGAAGAATAAAGAAGATAGAACGCAAAACAACAAAAAAGGGGGCAAAAAATAAGAAAGCTGTTTGGAAAACGGTCTTTGAACTCTTGTTGTAATAATTATGACGCACCCTGTAGTGCAGCAGAATGTAGTGCAGCAGAATGTAGTGCTTTAAATCAAAGCATTGAAGAGCTTTCATGTAGGTTTTCCAGATTTTTCCAGAATCATAAAAAATATAAAAGCTGTTAAACTTTTTCGTTGCTCCCTATTTTCAAAATTCATCAAATCCTTCTTGTTTTCATGCTCGTTGATCTGTAATTTTTTTCTCTTTTCAGAATTAATTTGTTTTCTTTTGATTTTCGAGGCATTCCCTCCCAACTTGTTTCCCAGATCTAATTAGCATTTGAAAGAGAAATGAAAAGACGAAGGAAAAGACGACGAAAAGGGAAAAGGTGTGTGTGGGTGTGGATTAAGAATATTTTTGGGAATTTTTAAACCTTGGGACTGAATCGGGTAACTAAACCGCTAGGCTCGTAAACATTTTGGAAATCGCATTTGGACTCATCAGCCAGATGGTGGACCGGCCCAAAAAATCCAAGAAAGTCCAAGAGTTTCACCTAGCTCACCTAGCTCACCTAGCTCACCTAGCTCACCTAGCTCACCTAGCTCACCTAGCTCACCTAGCTCACCTAGCTCACCTAGCTCACCTAGCTCACCTAGCTCACCTAGCTCACCTAGCTCACCTAGCTCACCTAGCTCACCTAGCTCACCTAGCTCACCTAGCTCACCTAGCTCACCTAGCTCACCTAGCTCACCTAGCTCACCTAGATTCACCTAGATTCACCTAGATTCACCTAGATTCACCTAGATTCACCTAGATTCACCTAGATTCACCTAGATTCACCTAGATTCACCTAGATTCACCTAGATTCACCTAGATTCACCTAGATTCACCTAGATTCACCTAGATTCACCTAGATTCACCTAGATTCACCTAGATTCACCTAGATTCACCTAGATTCACCTAGATTCACCTAGATTCACAAGGACATGGCCCCATTCAGAAAGATCTCAACTGTTGTAAGCTTTGATTTAACAAAACCGCTCTGAAATAGCTTTTGATGACATGTGGCATTGAAGTAAGATCTTCCAACGCTTGAAAACCAGTGGCAAACCAAGCAAGGATCGCGCCTGAAATGAGACGTTTATCCACTAGACCACAGCTGCACTTTCTTCCAACGCTTGAGAATCAGCGGCAAAACAAGCAAGGATCGCGCCCGATAAAAGACGTTTATCCACTAGACCCCTGCACTTTCTTTCAAGGACTTTATAAGGTAAGTGCTAAAAATTCCATGCCAAATATCTTGCGTTTGAGGGGAACGAGGGCAAAAGTTATATACATATTCGTGATCAGCATGGTCGATTCTATAAGATCCATTTGGCCTCAACTCATTCGGCCTCAACTCATTTGGCCTTAACCCAGATGTCGACCTGAAGGACTTTCCCTGTAAAACCTAAATAGTGAGCCAGTGCGCTAGAGAGCAGCGCAGCGCTTATCCAGCGCTTATCCCGTAGCGCAAAGTACACCAAATATCGAGCTTCGAGTTGAAATTTTCATAGAAAGTTATTTCATAGAAAATTCTTTTAAAAATAACCCTAATAAACAATATTCCTAAATATGCTGACCTGAAGGACTTTCCCAAATAGTGAGTCAGTGCACTAGAGAATTTCTAATCACATAGCTAACCAATTTTTGTAATTGTTTTGATGTTTTTCGTAACTTTCAAATTAATTGTTTACCCTCACAAATTTTTCAAGAAGCGGAGGAGTTCTAGAGAAAAAAACCCCGAAAATTGGTCTTTGTTTCAACTTTTTTTTCCCATTTTTCCATTCATTTTCATCGAATTAATTGAAATTTCACGCCTCCACGATTTTTTTTTTTCGTTTTTCCCTAAATTTCCTTTAAGGTTCTTTTTTTCTAATTACATCCGATGAAAGAGAAAAATTCTCGAAAAGAACTCAATTTTCTCTTTCTTTTCTTTCTTCTCTTTCTTCTCTTTCTTCTCTTTCTTCTCTTTCTTCTCTTTCTTCTCTTTCTTCTCTTTCTTCTCTTTCTTCTCTTTCTCTTTCTCTTTCTTCTCTTTCTTCTCTTTCTCCTCTTTCTTCTCTTTCTTCTCTTTCTTCTCTTTCTTCTCTTTCTTCTCTTTCTTCTCTTTCTTCTCTTTCTTCTCTTTCTTCTCTTTCTTCTCTTTCTTCTCTTTCTTCTCTTTCTTCTCTTTCTTCTCTTCTTCTCTTTCTTCTCTTTCTTCTCTTTCTTCTCTTTCTTCTCTTTCTTCTCTTTCTTCTCTTTCTTCTCTTTCTTCTCTTTCTTCTCTTTCTTCTCTTCTTCTCTTTCTTCTCTTTCTTCTCTTTCTTCTCTTTCTTCTCTTTCTTCTCTTTCTTCTCTTTCTTCTCTTTCTTCTCTTTCTTCTCTTTCTTCTCTTTCTTCTCTTTCTCTTTCTCTTTCTTCTCTTTCTTCTCTTTCTCCTCTTTCTTCTCTTTCTTCTCTTTCTTCTCTTTCTTCTCTTTCTTCTCTTTCTTCTCTTTCTTCTCTTTCTTCTCTTTCTTCTCTTTCTTCTCTTCTTCTCTTTCTTCTCTTTCTTCTCTTTCTTCTCTTTCTTCTCTTTCTTCTCTTTCTTCTCTTCTTCTTCCGTTTTTCCCGTTTTTTCAATTGGATAAGGCCAATCAACGGACTGAAAGAAGAGAAAAATTCAAACGAACATTCAAACGAAAATCCAATTTTCAATTTCGACTCAATCATTTCGCAAAGCTCAATGAACATTTTTGACAAATATTTGCAATATTTGCATAATCAAAGTTTGCATTAGTGAATAGAATATTGGGGAATTGGAAAAGCAGTTAAAGAAATTAGTTAAGTTAGAAAGTTTGAAAGGCATACGAGAGTTAGAATGTTTTAAAGGCAATTGCTTTGGGGCAAACGGAACAGCGACAGCGAGACAGCGCACATTGGCGTGAAATGCGCTTTTTGATGAACCTTGATGAAAGCTATGTTCACTGTAGTTGCTCTCTTCTGAAAGCCTGAATTTCTTTTGAAATACACAGATCCGATTTGAGTTGATCCGATTTGAGTTGATCCGATTTGATTTGATCCGATCGATTTGGTCCACATTCCGATTCCACATTCCACACAAATTGGACGTTGCTATTAGGTAAATGCATAAGAAATGCGGATTTTGATCAAATCGGATCAACTCAAATCGGATCTCAAATCGGATCTGTGTATTTCAAAAGAAATTCAGGCTTTTGAGTTGATCCGATTTGATTTGGTCCGATTGGATTTAATCCGATTTGAGTTGATCCGATTTGAGTTGATCCGGTTTGATTTAATCCGATTTGAGTTGATCCGATTTGAGTTGATCCGGTTTGATTTGGTCCGATTGGATTTAATCCGATTTGAGTTGATCCGATTTGAGTTGATCCGGTTTGATTTAATCCGATTTGAGTTGATCCGATTTGAGTTGATCCGGTTTGATTTGGTCCGATTGGATTTAATCCGATTTGAGTTGATCCGATTTGATTTGATCCGATTTGATTTAATCCGATTTGAGTTGGTCCGATTTGATTTGATCCGATTTGAGTTGATCCGGTTTGATTTGATCCGATTTGATTTAATCCGATTTGAGTTGATCCGATTTGAGTTGATCCGGTTTGATTTGATCCGATTTGATTTAATCCGATTTGAGTTGATCCGATTTGAGTTGATCCGGTTTGATTTGGTCCGATTGGATTTAATCCGATTTGAGTTGATCCGATTTGATTTGATCCGATTTGATTTAATCCGATTTGAGTTGGTCCGATTTGATTTGATCCGATTTGAGTTGATCCGGTTTGATTTGATCCGATTTGATTTAATCCGATTTGAGTTGATCCGATTTAAGTTGATCCAATTGATTGAATTGATCAAAATCCGCATTTCTTATGCATTTAACTAATAGCAACGTCCAATTTGTGTGGCTAATTTCTGAATAAAATAGAAATTCTTTTTGAGCGATCGACTGGCAGCGCGCCAGATAGGGATCGACTTGTGCTCATTCAAGGACTTGTTAAGCTCGCTTTGAGACACCCTGTAATCTCAAGGCATTTTCAAAGGCAATCCGGGTAATTTTGCCCAAATTTTACTTGTAAATGATGAAAAAATAATTCTAGATCCGGTTTGGTGATGGCGAGGATCGAGCGGAGAG